AAGAAATTATATCTGTTGTGTACTGTCCGTTTTATGTGGAGGGTGTTGTGTTGATTATGATCATTCTTGTTACTGACTTGCCTTTCTTAGTTGCCCCTGAGGGGATAAATGAAGTTGAGTTGAATTGAAATTAATTTAAATGAAGTTGAATTGAATCAAATTGAATTGAGTTGAATTGACTCCTAACCTGGTCAAACTTCCTCTGTTTCTTCTCCAGGTTGGAGACCAAGGTTCTCTGGTTGTCCAGGTCCATCAGAATGTCCTCCAGTTCCTGCTGTAGTCTGATCCTGTTCTTCTCCAGTTTATCATAGGCACACGCCTTCTCCTCGTACCTACAACCACACCATGAAGGAGGAACATATAGTTACATATGGTTAGTTATATACACTGCTCAAAAAAATAAAGGGAACACTTAAACAACACAATGTAACTCCAAGTCAATCACACTTCTGTGAAATCAAACTGTCAACTTAGGAAGCAACACTGATTGACAATACATTTCACATGCTGTTGTGCAAATGGAATAGACAACAGGTGGAAATTATAGGCAATTAGCAAGACACCCCCAATAAAGGACTGGTTTTGCAGGTGGTGACCACAGACCACTTCTCAGTTCCTATGCTTCCTGACAGATGTTTTGGTCACTTTTGAATGCTGGCAGTGCTTTCACTCTAGTGGTAGCATGAGACGGAGTCTACAACCCACACAAGTGACTCAGGTAGTGCAGCTCATCCAGGATGGCACATCAATGCGAGCTGTGGCAAGAAGGTTTGCTGTGTCTGTCAGCGTAGTGTCCAGAGCATGGAGGCGCTACCAGGAGACAGGCCAGTACATCAGGAGACGTGGAGGAGGCCATAGGAGGTTAACAACCCAGCAGCAGAACTGCTACCTCCGCCTTTGTGCAAGGAGGAGCAGGAGGAGCACTGCCAGAGCCCTGCAAAATGACCTCCAGCAGGCCACAAATGTGCATGTGTCTGCTCAAACGGTCAGAAACAGACTCCATGAGGGTGGTATGAGGGCCCGACGTCCACAGGTGGGGGTTGTGCTTACAGCCCAACACCGTGCAGGACGTTTGGCATTTGCCAGAGAACACCAAGATTGGCAAATTCGCCACTGGCGCCCTGTGCTCTTCACAGATGAAAGCAGGTTCACACTGAGCACGTGACAGACGTGACAGAGTCTGGAGACGCCGTGGAGAACGTTCTGTTGCCTGCATCATCCTCCAGCATGACCGGTTTGGCGGTGGGTCAGTCATGGTGTGGGGTGGCATTTCTTTGGGGGGCCGCACAGCCCTCCATGTGCTCGCCAGAGGTAGCCTGACTGCCATTAGGTACCAAGATGAGATCCTCAGACCCCTTGTGAGACCATATGCTGGTGCGGTTGACCCTGGGTTCCTCCTAATGCAAGACAATGCTAGACCTCATGTGGCTGGAGTGTGTCAGCAGTTCCTGCAAGAGGAAGGCATTGATGCTATGGACTGGCCCGCCCGTTCCCCAGACCTGAATCCAATTGAGCACATCTGGGACATCATGTCTCGCTCCATTTACCAACGCCATGTTGCACCACAGACTGTCCAGGAGTTGGCGGATGCTTTAGTCCAGGTCTGGGAGGAGATCCCTCAGGAGACCATCCGCCACCTCATCAGGAGCATGCCCAGGTGTTGTTGGGAGGTCATACAGGCACGTGGAGGCCACACACACTACTGAGCCTCATTTTGACATTACATCAAAGTTGGATCAGCCTGTAGTGTGGTTTTCCACTTTAATTTTGAGGGTGACTCCAAATCCAGACCTCCATGGGTTGATACATTTGATTTCCATTGATAATTTTTGTGTGATTTTGTTGTCAGCACATTCAACTATGTAATGAAAACAGTATTTAATAAGATTATTTCATTCATTCAGATCTAGGATGTGTTATTTTAGTGTTCCCTTTATTTTTTTGAGCAGTGTATATATATTATATATGGCTATACAGATGTAGGATCTTCATTTGACCAGTATTGTTGCAGTAAAATAATCTTGCAGCAACAGGATTTGAATGTTTTTAAAGTCCATAATGTTGCTATTACCTAGCCAAAAAAAGTGTGTTAATGCCAGTTTTCAGTGAATGTATTTAAATCACGAAGCTCATCTGCATTTCCTGAGGTGCAAGAACATTCTCAGCAAAAAATTGAGTGATAAAATTAAGATCCTACATATGTTTATTACAAATATATAACTATTATATACAGTATATATTATATATGTCTAATCCTCGTACTGTGAGTTGGCAGCCTCCAGGTCTCTCTGCAGGCGTTTCTTCCCGTCCTCCAGCAGTTCCACTGTCCCCTGCTGCTCATCCAGACGTTTCTTACAGTCAGACAACTGAAGAGGAGGAGAATGGGGAAAAGCGGAAGAGAGATAGGAGGAGAGAGATGAGAAGAGAGAGAGGCGAAGAGAGAGAGCGAGAGCGCGATGAGAGAGAGAAAGAGCGCTCTCTATCTCTTCTCTCTCTCTCTCTACTCCTCTCTCTCTCTCTCTCTCTCTCTCTCTCTCTCTCTCTCTCTCTCTCTCTCTCTCTCTCACGCTCCCTCCCTCCCCACTGACCTGCATGTTGAGGTTGGAGGCCTGTCTCTCCACCCCTCTCTTGGCCTCTGTCTCTTCCTCCAGCTGTTCTAGAAGGTTGTTCCTGTCATCCTCTGTCTGGCGTAGACGACCTGATAGGTTCAGCTTCTGACGAGTCTCCTCTGCCAACAACTCCTAGAGGGGGAGAGAGGGAGAGAGGGAGAGAAGGAGAGAGGGAGAGAGGGAGAGGGAGGAGAGGGGGAGAGAGGGGGAGAGAGGGAGAGAGGGAGGAGGAGAGGGAGAGAGGAGGGAGAGGGAGAGAGGGAGAGAGGGAGAGAGGAGGAGAGTGAGAGAGGGAGATAGGAAGAGAGGGAGAGAGGGATACAGATGAACATAAACATGTTGTGGTAGTGTGATGTAGTTCACTTTAGCCTCAAAGGCACCAACATATATTACTTAGAAAACAAAGTATTAGACAGGAGGGACAACCGAGAAATAATATCTGTTTATCTATCGCTCTGAGAAGGTTTTCCTGTCAGCTGAACATCCTATATTTGTTCAATGTTTCCCCTACCAGTTGTTCTGTGAAGTAAGACAGAGAGCCCATGTAGGTCTAAGTCTCACCTGTTAGTCCTGTAGGTCTAAGTCTCACCTGTTAGTCCTGTAGGTCTAAGTCTCACCTGTTAGTCCTGTAGGTCTAAGTCTCACCTGTTAGTCCTGTAGCTCTATGTCTCACCTGTTAGTCCTGTAGGTCTAAGTACATTACCTGCATGTAAATGTTAGTCCTGTAGGTCTAAGTCTCACCTGTTAGTCCTGTAGGTCTAAGTCTCACCTGTTAGTCCTGTAGGTCTAAGTCTCACCTGAGAGTCCTATAGGTCTAAGTCTCACCTGTTAGTCCTGTAGGTCTAAGTCTCACCGTTGTCCTGTAGGTCTAAGTCTCACATGTTAGTCGTGTAGGTCTAAGTCTCACCTGAGAGTCCTATAGGTCTAAGTCTCACCTGTTAGTCCTGTAGGTCTGTCTCACCTGTTAGTCCTGTAGGTCTAAGTCTCACCTGCTAGTCCTGTAGGTCTAAGTCTCACCTGTTAGTCCTGTAGGTCTAAGTCTCACCTGAGAGTCCTATAGGTCTAAGTCTCACCTGTTAGTCCTGTAGGTCTAAGTCTCACCTGTTAGCACGTAGGTCTAAGTCTCACCTGTTAGTCCTGTAGGTCTAAGTCTCACCTGTTAGTCCTGTAGGTCTAAGTCTCACCTGTTAGTCCTGTAGGTCTAAGTCTCACCTGTTAGTCCTATAGGTCTAAGTCTCACCTGTTAGTCCTGTAGGTCTAAGTCTCACCTGTTAGTGCTGTAGGTCTGAGTCTCATCTGTTAGTCCTACAGGTCTAAGTCTCACCTGTTAGTCCTGTAGGTCTAAGTCTCATCTGTTAGTCCTGTAGGTCTAAGTCTCACCTGAGAGTCCTATAGGTCTAAGTCTCACCTGTTAGTTCTGTAGGTCTATGTCTCACCTGTTAGTCCTGTAGGTCTAAGTAAATTACCTGCATGTAAATGTTAGTCCTGTAGGTCTAAGTCTCACCTGTTAGTCCTGTAGGTCTAAGTCTCACCTGTTAGTCCTGTAGGTCTAAGTCTCACCTGATGAGTCCTATAGGTCTAAGTCTCACCTGTTAGTCCTGTAGGTCTAAGTCTCACCTGTTAGTCCTGTAGGTCTAAGTCTCACATGTTAGTCGTGTAGGTCTAAGTCTCACCTGAGAGTCCTATAGGTCTAAGTCTCACCTGTTAGTCCTGTAGGTCTAAGTCTCACCTGTTAGTCCTGTAGGTCTAAGTCTCACCTGTTAGTCCTGTAGGTCTAGGTCTCACCTGTTAGTCCTATAGGTCTAAGTCTCACCTGAGAGTCCTATAGGTCTAAGTCTCACCTGTTAGTCCTGTAGGTCTAAGTCTCACCTGTTAGCCCTGTAGGTCTAAGTCTCACCTGTTAGTCCTGTAGGTCTAAGTCTCACCTGGTAGTCCTGTAGGTCTAAGTCTAACCTGTTAGTCCTGTAGGTCTAAGTCTCACTTGTTAGTCCTGTAGGTCTAAGTCTCACCTGAGAGTCAAATAGGTCTAAGTCTCACCTGTTAGTCCTGTAGGTCTAAGTCTCACCTGTTAGTCCTGTAGGTCTAAGTCTCACCTGTTAGTCCTGTAGGTCTAAGTCTCACCTGTTAGTCCTGTAGGTCTAAGTCTAACCTCTTAGTCCTGTAGGTCTAAGTCTCACTTGTTAGTCCTGTAGGTCTAAGTCTCACCTGAGAGTCAAATAGGTCTAAGTCTCACCTGTTAGTCCTGTAGGTCTAAGTCTCACCTGTTAGTCCTGTAGGTCTAAGTCTCACATGTTAGTCCTGTAGGTCTAAGTCTCACCTGTTAGTCCTATAGGTCTAAGTCTCACCTGTTAGTCCTGTAGGTCTAGGTCTCACCTGTTAGTGCTGTAGGTCTAAGTCTCACCTGAGAGTCCTATAGTTCTAAGTCTCACCTGTTAGTCCTGTAGGTCTAAGTCTCACCTGTTAGTGCTGTAGGTCTAAGTCTCACCTGAGAGTCCTATATGTCTAAGTCTCACCTGTTAGTCCTATAGGTCTAAGTCTCACCTGTTAGTCCTGTAGGTCTAAGTCTCACCTGAGAGTTCTGTAGGTCTAAGTCTCACCTGAGAGTCCTGTAGCTGGGTCCCCAGACTGGTCACGTCTTTACTCAGTTTAATGTTCTTCCCCTCCACTTCATTCAGCAGACTGCTCACACTGTCCAACTCAGACTGGAACAGAGAGATGAGACATCTCAGACTGGAACAGAGGGATGAGACAACTCAGACTGGAACAGAGGGAGGAGACAACTCAGACTGGAACAGAGGGAGGAGACAACTCAGACTGGAACAGAGGGATGAGACAACTCAGACTGGAACAGAGGGAGGAGACAACTCAGACTGGAACAGAGGGATGAGACAACTCAGACTGGAACAGAGGGATGAGACAACTCAGACTGGAACAGAGAGATGAGACAACTCAGACTGGAACAGAGGGAGGAGACAACTCAGACTGGAACAGAGGGAGGAGACAACTCAGACTGGAACAGCGAGATGAGACAATCAGACTGGAACAGAGAGATGAGACAACTCAGGACTGGAACAGAGGGGGAGGAGACAACTCAGACTGGAACAGAGGGAGGAGACAACTCAGACTGGAACAGAGGGAGGAGACAACTCAGACTGGAACAGAGGGAGGAGACAACTCAGACTGGAACAGAGGGAGGAGACAACTCAGACTGGAACAGAGGGAGGAGACAACTCAGACTGGAACAGAGGGATGAGACAACTCAGACTGGAACAGAGAGATGAGACAACACAGACTGGAACAGAGGGAGGAGACAACTCAGACTGGAACAGAGGGATGAGAGAAGAGGAAAGAAGAAGAGGAAAGAAGCTGTCTGTCATCCTGTAAATAAAATACACCAATTGGCTCATTCATCCCCTCTCCCCAGGTCGTTGCTGTTAACGAGAATAGTTATGTTCTCAGTCAACTTACCTGGTCACATCAGGGTAAGCAGACGCCACAGTGTTGAATGACAGTTGTATTTCTGGGTTGTTGTTAATGTTCACAGATGTGTCACCAATAAATAGATGACAGTTGTACTAGGACAATCCCCTGCTCGTGTTTAAGGTTTTATTATTTTCATCTGACTGTGTCTTTCAGCTGATGTGTGAGGTACAGATGTAGGATCTTAATCTGATCACCTTGTTATAGGATAACTTTTCTGCAATGCAGGACATTTAAAATGTGTAGTGTATTTGAGGTTTAAAAAGGCTTCTGAAGTTTGTAATTTCCACTTTGAAATTTCAGACTTGATTTTCCCTTACAAAAAATGTATCAACCCCTACAAAAATGACCATTAATTATAATCCACATAATAATTCTAATTTCCTGATGTTGCAGGATTATTTTCCTGCTGTAGCAAACTGGTTCAAATTAAGATCCTACATCTGTAGCCAATGTACGCTACTCACGGTCATCTTAGAGACTCGTTCTCCAGCTCCCCCCTCTGTCTCTCACTGTCGTTGTAGCGCGACTGCAAGTCTGACAGCTGACCTTCGACCTTCTTCTTCTTGTGCTCCACTTCCTGCTTGGCGTTGGCCAATGAAGTGGAGGTCTGCGCTGAGGTCAGATGACTCCTTCTCCAATCCCTGCTTAGCCTTCTCCAGACTGGCTCGCACCTGGGGAGAGAAGGGAGGGTGGGTGAGGGAGTGAGGAGAGAAGGGAGGGTGTGAGGGAGTGAGGAAAGAAGGGAGGGTGTGAGGGAGTGGGGGGAGAGGGAGGGGGAGGGTGAGAGGTGAGGAGCAGGAAGAGGGAGGAGGGAGGGTGTGAGGAGTGGGAGGCGAGAAGGGAGGGTGTGAGGGAGTGGGGAGAGAAGGGAGGGTGTGAGGGAGTGGGGAGAGAAGGGAGGGGGGAGGGGGAGGCGAGGGGGGACGAGAGAAGGGAGGGTGTGGTGAGGGGTGAGGAGAGAAGGGGAGCGGTGTGAGGGGAGGGGGAGAGAGAAGGGAGGGGTGGAGCATACGTGGGGAGGGGAGGAGAAGGGAGGGTGTGAGGGAGTGGGGACTGAGAAGGGAGGGGTGGTGAGGAGTGGGGAGAGAAGGGAGGGTGTGAGGGAGTGAGGAGAGAAAGGAGGGTGTTTACTTTGTCCATATGTGTGCATGTGCGTGTGTGTGTGTGTGTGTGTGTGTGTGCGTGTGTGTGCGTGTGTGTGTGTGTGTGTGCGTGTGTGTGCGTGTGCGTTCCCATGCAGGCGGCAGGTGTGTGTGTTACCCTCTTGGCCTGCTCCAGATGTTCAGACAGTTCCTCAACAGTCTGTGTGTGTTTCTGTCTCATCTCTTGAACCTGTGCTTCATGGTTCCTCCCTTCCTCCTCCATCACCTTCTTCAACATGGCTACCTCCTGCTCTCGCTTCGCCCTGGAGACAGCAACGCACAGCAACCATCAGTGTGTGTCTGTGTGTGTCTGTGTGTGTCCCAATTGGAACCGTACCGTAGTTCCTGCTGTTGCAGCGGTGGTGTCCAGTGTGTGTGTGTGTGTGTGTGTGTGTGTGTGTGTGTGTCAATTGAAACCGTACCTTAGCTCCTCCTGTTGCAGAGGTGGTGTCCAGTGTGTGTGTGTGTGGTGTGTCCCAATTGAAACCGTACCTTAGTTCCTGCTGTTGCAGCGGTGGTGTCAAGTGTGAAGTGTGTGTGTGTGTGTGTGTGTCTCAATTGAAACCGTACCTTAGCTCCTGCTGTTGCAGAGGTGGTGTCCAGTGGTGTGTGTGTGTGTGTGTGTGTGTGTGTGTGTGTGTGTGTGTGTCTCAATTGAAACCGTACCTTAGCTCCTGCTGTTGCAGAGGTGGTGTCCAGTGTGTGTGTGTGTGTGTCTCAATTGAAACCGTACCTTAGCTCCTGCTGTACGGCGGTGGTATCCAGTGTGTCTTCCAGCTCAGACCTCAGAGCGTTCAGCTCCTCTCCAGGTCTCTACAGGCTGCATCAGCCTTCCTCCTGGCAGCCCCCTCTGACTCCAGGTCCTCCTGGATCTCACCTATTTACCACACACACACACACACACACACACACACACACACACACACTTATAACCAGAACCCACATGTCACCCTATTCCCTATATAGTGCACTACTTTTGAGCAGGTTAGCGTTCTTCCTCATTAATCTTGTTCTGGAGGCAGCTCTGCAGAGTGGTCACTAGCTGGCACAGCCACAGTAATAACATCTGATTTTAAACCTAAAACTAATCTTAACCCTAACCTTAACCACACTGCTAACCCTAATGCCTCTAACACTAAGCTTAAATTAAGACCAAAAAGCTCATTTTGTTTTCAGGAAATTTTACAATATAGACAATTTAGACTTTGCAGCTGGCTCATCTAGTGGAAATCACTCAGAAGACTCATCCCAATAAACGTCAACCTGCTACTTCTGACCCTTATGGGTGCCTTTTGGGCTTCTGACCCTTATGGGTGCCTTTTGGGCTGCTGACCCTTATGGGTGCCTTTTGGGCTTCTGACCCTTATAGGTGCCTTTTGGGCTTCTGACCATTATGGGTGCCTTTTGGGCTGCTGACCCTTATGGGTGCCTTTTGGGACACCCTCTCTCCCTTGGTACTTAGATGAGATGATCTCACCTAACAGCCCCTCCAGTTCCCTGACACGCCGCACCGCCGCAACACAACCAGCAGACTCCTCCTCCAACCTGACAGAGAGAGATTTAGAGCATGAGAAATAAGAGCTATTTTCTGTGTAATAGATATGTTATATATAAGATATACATCTTATATATGCCTAATAATGATTAAGATTGTCAATGTACCGAATCTGTCAACTCTTTTGAACTAGTGTGTTTATATGTTCCTGGACAATAAAGATGCTGATTGAAGATAGTTCATCGCTGATGATCTGGGATTGATTACCTGGCCTGTGTGGCCAGTAGCTCCTCCTCCTTGGTGGCGAGCTGTGCTCTGAGCTCGGCTATCTGGGCCTGCAGGTCGGCCAGCTGCTCCTGGAGATCAGACAGTTCCGTCTCCATCTTCCTCTTGGCCTTCTCTACATCCTGCCTGCCCTTCTCCTCCTTCTTCATACGCACTGAGGAAGAGGAGGAAGAGGAGGAGGAGGAAAAGGGAGAGGAATCGTCATCATCATCATAATCGTCTATAGCAGAGGTAGACTAATGGATTCTTGGAGGGTGAGTAAGCTTTGTTCAGCTTTATCCCAGTTCTAACACACCAGATTCAACCAATTAAGGTCTAAATTGAAGACCATAATTGATTGATTACTGACTGACTGACTGATTGATTGATGCCAGGAGTGAGGGGTCAGGGGTTAGAGATCAAAGGTGAGTAACTCACCCTCCAGGTCTGAGATCATAGACTCGTGTTTGTTCTTCAGCTTGGTCAGGTTCTTAGACTTCTCCTCTTCCTCAGCCAGGTTAGAGCAGGAGTCTGCTACTCTCTCCTCCAACAGCTTACGCTCCTGATCAACAACGGATAAAAGAGAGAAAGGTCAGGGTTCAGAGGTGAGGGGTCAGGGACTGTTTGCTACGCTCTCCTCCAACAGCTTACACTCCTGAAGAACAACACACAGCAGGGAGAAAGGTTAATCAGAGGTCAGAGGTGAGGGGTCAGGGACTGAGTGCTACATGCTCCTCCAACATCTTACGGTCCTGAGGAACAGGAGAGCAGGGAGGAAGATGGATGGGTGGATGGATGGGTGAATGGTGTTTATTGGCACAGGGGTGGAGAAAAATGTACCTTGAGTAGTTTGTTATTCTGGTCTTCCATGATGAGAACATCCTCCTCCAGTTTCTTGACCTTCCCCTCAACAGTCACCTTCTCCAGCTGCAACTTCTGACGAGAGTCCTCTTCCTCCGACAGCTGGGCCTCCATGGCCTAATATACACAGGGAAGAAAGGGATGGAGAGAGGAAGAGAAACGAGGGAGAGAGGGGGAGGGAGGGAGGCGAGAGAAATAGGAGAAGAGTTTGTGAGTGTTTGTGTGTGTGTGTTTTCTGTTCCCAAAATTTATGTTTTAATAAAGATAATACAATCACAATGTTTCAACCCACATGGTCTTTGTCACTTCACATGACCCACAACAGGGCCTCCACATGACCCACAACAGGGCCTCCACATGACCCACAACAGGGCTTCTACATGACCCACAACAGGGCCTCCACATGACCCACAACAGGGCCTCCACATGAACCACAACAGGACCTCCACCTGACCCACAACAGGGCCTCCACCTGACCCACAACAGGGCTTCCACCTGACCCACAACAGGGCCTCCACATGACCCACAACAGGGTCACATGACCCACAACAGGGCCTCCACCTGACCCACAACAGGACCTCCACATGACCCACAACAGGGTCACATGACCCACAACAGGGCCTTCCATTTATACCAGTCTATGGATAAGGACAGAGTGCAGTCAATCCACCATCCACTAACTTCAGCATTTTCTAATCAAAAACCAATGGAAGTCAATGTACCCGGTAATATCGATATTAGCATTTTATACATTTCATGCCAAAGTCTCTGAAAGGGATTGAAATTATTTTGTCTCATCACTGATATACCATAGTTGAAAAGGTAATCGCTCGGTGTCTATTTTGGATCTGCCCACCTGTAGTTGCTGCTGCATGTCTTTCCTCTCCTGCTGCAGCTGTGTGGCTCTCTCCTCCTCCTCCTCCAGCCGCACCTCCATCTCATGGAGCACCTCCTCCAGCTCCTGCTTCTTGGCCTCCAGACGAACCCTCATCTCCTCTGCCTCAGCATATAACTCTGTCTCCGCCTGAAGCTTCTGCTCCAGTTTAGCTCGCTCCTCTACTACCTAGAGAGAGAGAGAGAGAGAGAGAGAGATAGAGCGATATAGAGATAGGGCTAGAGATAATATAGAGCGCATTAGCTGACCAGCCATAAGCATGATCGAAAGAGAGTCAAATGTCTCTCCTCTTCTCTCCCTCATCTCTCTCCCTTCTCTCCCACTTCTCTCTCCTTCCTCTCCCTCTGCTCTCCTTCTCTCCTCTCTCTCCCTTCTCTCCCTCTCTCTCTCTCTTTTCTCTCCCTCGCTCTCTCTCCTTCTCCGCTCTCTCTCTCCCGCTCTCTCTCCTTCTCTACCGCTCTCTCTGCGCTCCCTCTCGCTCTCTCCTCTTTCCGCCTCTCTCCTCTTTCCTCTCTCTCTCTTCTCCCTCTCTTTCTCTCTCTCTCTCTCTCTTAATCTCTCCTCTCTCTCTCCTACTGCTCTCCCCTTCTTTCTCCTCTCCATCTCTCTCTCTCTCTCTCTCTCTCTCGCTCGTTCTCTCCCTCTCTCTCTCTCTCTTTCTCTCCCTCTCTCGTCTCTCTCTCTTACTCTCTCTCCCCTCCTCCCTCTCTCACATTATAGTAAGATACGACCTGAGTTTTGTGTGTGGTTAACCTCATCATCTCTGCCTCCACGTACAGCCCTGTCTCTGCCTAAAGCTTCTCCTGGAGCTTAGTCCACTCCTCTACCAACTACAGTAGATACAAACAACACACAGAGAGCACAGAGAGAGAGTGTGTGCATGTGTGTGTATGTGCGTGCGTCTCACCGTGTGGTTGGTGCCTCTGCCTCACAACCTCTGTGTGTGTGTGGTGTCTGCTAGCTCCCCCTACCTCTAAGCGGAAGCACATTCCCGCTCAGCCCCAGTCAAAGCTATTTGCTGCTCTGGCACCCAATGGTGGAACAAGCTCACCCACGACGCCAGGACAGCGGAGTTACTGACCACCTTCCGGAGACACTTGAAACCCTACCTCTTTAAGGAATACCTGGAATAGTATAAAGTAATCCTTCTCCACCCCCCCCCCCCCTATAAAAAAAAAAAAAAAAAAAAAAAAAAGTGGTTGTCCCACTGGCTATCATAAGTTGAATGCACCAATTTGTAAGTCGCTCTGGATAAGAGCGTCTGCTAAATTATGTAAATGTAAATGTGTGTGTGTATGTCTCCCCATCTCACCTGTGTGTGTTTCTGGGAGATCTCCTTCAGTTCCGCCTGGCTCTTCTGAGCCAGATCCTTGGCAGACTTCAGCTCCTCCTCCTTCTGACCCATTTCCTCTTCCTGTCGCGTCACCTGGAGGAGGGGCTTCACCTGCGGGACGACCAATCAAAGTTTACATAAGAGATAATATCAAAACAAATCAACCAATCAAAACTATGATATACTCAAAAAGTGATGGATGTAGCAGAACCCAGTCCGAAATCAAACACCTGTGTGTGTGTGAATGTGTACCTTGGTGAAGAGTCTCCACCACTGCCAGTTCTTCAGGACCAGGTAGACGGCACAGTTCCTCTGAATCACCTTCATAGCAGTCAGCTGGGCCTGACGCTTGCTAAACGCTCTGTGGAGAGAACACACATCAGAGTGTCTGCTATCGTGCTTTAGTGGGCGCGACTGGTAACGCTACTTCATGGCTGAAAAATGTGCTGATGTGTTCAGAGGGTCCCTGGTTGGAGCCCAGGCTGGAAGCAACACTGTTCCACTAACTTGCGTGCGAGGAAGCTCCTAGCGTGGGCCTGGAAGGCAATGATGACCACAGTCAGTTTAATGTCCCTCTCCTCCTCCAGCTGGGCTAACACTCCTGTTCTGAAGAACATCTTACTCTGACCGATACGGAACAGATTAGGATCCAGGTCTAGGTGTTTCATCTACAGAGGAAGTGAGAGCAGCATTCAATAACACCTTTATCATGACACCTTTCAAAACAAAGGTCCCTTCAGAATACATCTTTACTTATCCATAACTAAGGTAGGAACATTTGTCGTATTTAGTTCATTGCTCAACTTTAGGTTTTCTAAAAGTGCAGGTTAAAATGTGCCAAAAGTTTTTTAGGCTCAGTGACTGTTTCAGTAAGATCAACTCAGACGTTTCAGTAATATGAAATCACCATTAGTTGACAAGCCTGTTTCCCGTCCATGAAACCCTTAGGGATGCAGTTGGCTGCTAGGATCTCATAGCTACAAGAAGAAGAAGAAGAAGAAGAAGAAGAAGAAGAAGAAGAAGAAGAAGAAGAAGAAGAAGAAGAAGAAGAAGAAATGAAAAACAGAAGGAAGAATAAATGTTGTTATGGGATAATTACACAGACACAATCGTGGTTCCTTAGCGCTGGGGTTAGAACGTTCCTCACCGTTGTCGGAACTCTTGGAACACGATGCGGTTGGGGAAGCCCTGTCTGCAGATCCGGATCCCTTCCAGAACCCCGTTACACCTCAACTGCTCCAGAACCAGGTTAGCATCCATCTTCCCTGCCTACACACACAGGAAGAATGGGGGGAGAGAACAGAGGTGACTCATGGAGAGGAAGGAGAGGAGATTCATTGATGAAAAGTGTAGAAATAGCTGTAGGTGTTTTGGGTGGGCGATAGTATCCCACCCTCTTCTCGTGGTTGGGGATGATACAGCGTATGAAGTTGGGCTGTGTGTTGTTCAGCGTGGTCATCAGTTTGCCCAGGGATTCCTTGTAGAGCTGACCCACTGTCCTGAACATGCCCTTCTTAGACTTAGTGGCGCTGGGGGCCGAGCTCTCTGACATCTTAGTAATGGTCTCCAGACCCACCACACGGTCCACTGGAAACAGAACTATGATTATTAATGATATCTGAGAAGAAAGGCTAGGAGGAACAGGTGAGAGGCAGGGAGAAAGAGGAGGAGATGAAAGAGAGGGAGGGAGAAGAACAGATGACACACAAGAAGGAAAGAGAGTAGAATACTGATGGGAGTACAGTAAAGTGAATGGGTGGTAGACCAACACATTTCTACTGATGGGAGTACAGTAAAGTGAATGGGTGGTAGACCAACTGTGCTTGCATCCTAAATAGAACCCTATTCCCTATATAGTACACTACTTTTGACCAGAGTGCTATGGGGCCTGGTCAAAAGTAGTGCACCATATAGGGAATAGGGTGCCATTTGGGATGCATCCTGTGCCTCACCATCCTTCCAGAGGTCCTGTATGAAGGGGTTGGATGAGTTGTTGAGGAGAGCCGTCACGTTGTCATTCAGAGGGTCCATGTTCTTAGTCAGCCAGCTGGCCCCGTTGTAGTCCACCTATAACACAACCACAATACAACCACAACACAACCACAACAGAACACAACCACAACACAACCATGTTCTTAGTCAGCCAGCTGGCCCCGTTGTAGTCCACCTATAACACAACCACAATACAACCACAACACAACCACAACAGAACACAACCACAACACAACCATGTTCTTAGTCAGCCAGCTGGCCCCATTGTAGTCCACCTATAACACAACCACAATACAACCACAACACAACCACAACAGAACACAACCACAACACAACCATGTTCTTAGTCAGCCAGCTGGTCCCGTTGTAGTCCACCCATAACACAACCACAACATAACACAACCACAACACAACCACAACACAACCACAATACAACCATAACACAACCACAACATAACCACAACACAACCACAACACAACCACAACATAACACAACCACAACATAACCACAATACAACCATAACACAACCACAACCACAACACAACCACAACACAACCACAACATAACACAACCACAACACAACCATGTTCTTAGTCAGCCAGCTGGCCCCGTTGTAGTCCACCTATAACACAACCACAATACAACCACATCACAACCACAACACAACCACGACAGAACACAACCACAACACAACCATGTTCTTAGTCAGCCAGCTAGCACCGTTGTAGTCCACCTATAACACAACCACAATACAACCACAACACAACCACAACAGAACACAACCACAACACAACCATGTTCTTAGTCAGCCAGCTGGTCCCTTTGTAGTCCACCCATAACACAACCACAACATAACATAACACAACCACAACACAACCACAACACACCACAATACAACCATAACACAACCACAACATAACACAACCACAACACAACCACAACACAACCACAACATAACACAACCACAATACAACCACAACACAACCACAACATAACCACAATACAACCATAACACAACCACAACCACAACACAACCACAATATAACACAACCACAACACAACCATGTTCTTAGTCAGCCAGCTGGCCCCGTTGTAGTCCACCTATAACACAACCACAATACAACCACATCACAACCACAACACAACCACAACAGAACACAACCACAACACAACCATGTTCTTAGTCAGCCAGCTAGCACCGTTGTAGTCCACCTATAACACAACCATAACGCAACCACAACACAACCACAACCATAACACAACATAACCACAACCACAACACAACCATGATCTTAGTCAGTCAGCTAGCACCGTTGTAGTCCACCTATAACACAACCATAACGCAACCACAACACAACCACAACCATAACACAACATAACCACAACCTCAACACAGCCATGATCTTAATCAGCCAGCTAGCACCATTGTAGTCCACCTACATATCATCTCATCTCACCCTGCCGGCGTAGTGGAGAACTCTTCTGACAGAAACATATAATCTCATCTCACCCTGCCGGCGTAGTGGAGAACAGAGAAGGTAGTCTTGTCTTTGAGTGATTTGGGTTTGGAGAACTTGCAGTGGGACGTGTGTGTGTTCATCAGCTTCTCAACGAAGGACAGGTCGGTGGCTTTAGGGAACCAGCACTCCTCATCTAACAGAGCCAAGATACCTGGAGGGTTGTTCTAGAAGGGGGGGGGGGGGTGTAGCTTTAGGGAACCAGCACTCATCCATGTGTGCATTGATGTAGGTCCAGTGTGTATGTGTGCATGTGTGTGTCTCCGTCTCTGTGTGTGTGTGTGTGTTACCGGTCTCTCGATGAGCTCTATGCAGGGCTGCAGGTCCAGGCCGAAGTCTATGAAGGCCCAGTCGATCCCCTCTCTCTTGTACTCCTCCTGCTCCAGGATGAACATGGTGTGGTTGAACAGCTGCTGCAGACGCTCGTTGGTGTAGTTGATGCACAGCTGCTCAAACAGTTGGCCTAGGAGAGGAGAAGGTACATGTGGTTACACGAGCTCACAGTACGTGGAGTTCCTGAGAAAGTTTACATAGTGGTTAACACAGAGCTACAGTATCGTGTTAGTTCGTGAGGAGAAGTTACAAAGTGGTTAACCACATAGAGCTAGAGTATCGGTTAGTTCCTAGGAGAAGTGCGATAGTGGTAACACGAAGCTACAGTATCGTGGTTGCCTGAGGAACGTACAATGTGGTTAACACAGAGCTACAGTATCGTGGTAGTTCCTGAGGAGAAGTTACATAGTGGTTAACACAGAGCTACAGTACCGTGTTAGTTCCTGAGGAGAAGTTACATAGTGGTTAACACAGAGCTAACCGGATCGTGGGTAGTTTCCTGAGGAGGGAAGGAGAGGGATAGTGATGTGAACAAGAGGTACGGCTCTTTCACAGTTACTGTACATCAGTCCTCTTCGTCCCAAATTGTACCTAGTCCCTATTTAGTGGCACTAACTTTTATTGTTGTGGGATAATAATAATCATAGCAGGAAACATACAGGGGGAAATGTCCTTTTTGGGAGGCAGATGGGGCTCCCGAATCGCTACATCTACCCATTTTAAATTGTTTAAATTTGAGTAATTTAGCAGATGCTATTATCCAGAGCAACTTACAGTAGTGGGTGCATACATTTTCGTACTGGTCCTCCATGGGAATCGAACCCACAACCCTGGCGTTGCATGCGCCATGAGCTACCAATTGGCTTACGGAATCCCTTTCTCTGTCAACTTAAAGATGATGCTCCTCAGTCTCACCTCAAAGATTTCGAAGCCAGCGATGTCTAGAATCCCCAGGAATGACGCTCCTTTACGTTTGGCCTTATCCAGAGTCTTATTCACCCTCGCTAGGATCCATCTGAACAACCGCTCATACATGGCCTTCGCCAGGGCCTCGATGGCAAAGTCAGCCTGGGGGAGAGGACAGGAGAGAGGAGTGGAGGGAGAGAGCGAGAGCCGAGACAGAGAGAATAGAGAGAAGAGACAACTATAGAGAGAGAGAGAGGCGAGATGGAGGGGTGGGTAGATAGAGAGAGACTCTATATAGAGGCGTTGTATACATCGCTTCGATCCTTGGCTCTTCGGGGAGAGCCAGAAACTTCGTTTGTTCCGCTTGGGGCCCTCTCGATCTCATCGAGCGACGCCGCCAGCGCGTTTTTCCGCTTGCGCCCGCTTGGCGCTCTCGCGCGCTTCTGCTTCTCGCTCGGGTGTTCCCTCTCGTCCTCCCTCGCTCTACCCGCGCTACGCGCGCAGAGCTCTCTGTCGAGTCGCGCGCTGAGCGCTCTACTCTCGCGCGCCTCACTCGCTCGAGAGAGAGAGAAGAGAGAGAGAGAGAGAGAGAGATAAGAATGTACTATAACTATTTATACTTCATACATTATATGATGCCAGGTCTCTGTAGAAAATAAGATTAAACTTTTAACTGAACATGTGAGAGGAAGGTATTGTACAATTAAGTTGAATCTAGAGTAGAATAGAGTAGAGTTGAATAGAATAGAGTCGAATTATAACGTAGAATAGAGTAGACAGAGTGAATAGATTACATAGGAGTAGAGTTGATAGAAATATAATAGGAGTAGAATAGAAGAAAAGAAGTAATATTTGTAGAAGTATCATTGAATAGAGTAGAGCAGAGTTGAACAGAGTAGAGTAGAATAGAGTAGAGTTGAATATAATATAATAGAGTAATAGAAAAGAGTAGAATAGAGTAGAGTTGAATAAAGTAGAATAGAGTAGAATAGAGTAGCATAAAGTAAAGTTGAATAGAGTAGAGTAGAGTAGAATAGAGTAGAGTAGAGTAGAGTAGAGTAGAGTAGAGTAATAGTAGAACAGAATAGAGTTAGAGTGAGATGGTAAAATAGAGTAGAGTAGAATAGAGGAGAATAGAGTAGAGTTAAATAGAATAGAGTAGAAGAGAATAGAGTAGAGTAGAGTAGAGTAGAATAGAATAGAGTAGAGTAGAGTAGAATAGAATAGAGTCGAGTAGAGTAGAATAGAGTAGAACAGATTAGAATAGAATATAGTAGAATAGAATAGAGTAGAGTAGAGTAGAGTAGAGTAAGAGTAGAGTAGAATAGAATAGAGTAGAGTAGAGTAGAGTAGAGTAGAGTAGAGTAGAGTAGAGTAGAGTAGAGTAGAGTAGAGTAGAGTAGATTAGAGTAGAGTAGAGTAGAGTTAGATTAGAGTAGACATAGAGTAGAGTAGAGTAGAGTAGAATTGAGTAGAACAGAATAGAGTATAGTAGAGTAGAATAGAGTAGAGTAGAGTAGAGTAGAGTAGAATAGACTAGACTAGAGTAGAGTAGACTAGTCTCCCGAGTGGCGCAGTGGTCTAAGGCACTGCATCGCAGTGCTAGCTGTGCCACTAGAGATCCTGGTTCGAATCCAGGCTCTGTCGTAGCCGGCCGCGACCGGGAGACCCATGGGGCGGCGCATAATTGGCTCAGCGTCGTCCAGGGTAGGGGAGGGAATGGCTGGCAGGTAGGTAGCTCAGTTGGTAGAGCATGGCGTTTGCAACGCCAGGGTTGTGGGTTCGATTCCCACGGGGGCCAGTATAAAAAAAAAAAAAAATAATTACAATGTCACTCACTAACTGTAAGTCGCTCTGGATAAGAGCGTCTGCTAAATGACTAAAATGTAGAGTAGAGTAGAGTAGAGTAGAGTAGAGTAGAATAGAATAGAGTAGAACAGAATAGAGTAGAATGGAGTAGAGTAGAGTAGAATAGTGTAGAGTAGAATAGAGTAGAACAGAGTAGAATAGAACATAATAGAGTAGAGTAGAGTAGAATACAATAGAATAGAATAGAGTAGAATACAATAGAGTAGAACACAGTAGAATAGAGTAGAATACAATAGAGTAGAATAGAGTAGAATAGAGTAGAGTAGGGTTGAATAGAATAGAGTAGAATAGAATAGAGTAGAATATGGTAGATTAGAGTAGTGTAGAGTTGGATAGAATAGATAGAGTAGAATAGAGTAGAACAGAAAATAACAGAATAGAGTAGAACAGAATAGATTAGAATAGAATACAGTAGAATAGAGTAGAGTTGAATAGAGTAGAGTTGAATAGAATACAGTAGAATATAATAGAACAGAACAGGATAGAATAGAATGAACTAGAATAGAACAGAATAGCGTAGATAGAATAAAATAGAGTAGAATAGAATATAGCAGAGTAGAGTAGAATAGAAAAGAGAAGAATATAGTTGAATAGAACCGAGTAGAATAGAATAGGGTAGATTAGAGAAGTGTAGAGTTGAATAGAAACAGAATAGAGTAGAATAAAGTAGAATAGAATAGAATAGAACAGAGTAGAGTAGAGTTGAATAAAGTAGAACAGAACAGAATAGAATATAATATAATATAGTAGAGTAGAACAGAATAGAGAAGAACAGAGTAGAATATAATAGCGTAGAGTAGAATTGAATAGAATAGAATAGAGTAGAATAGAGTAAATTAGAGTAGTATAGAGTTGAATAGAACATAATAGAGTAGAACATGATAGAATAGAGTAGAGTAGAGTTGAATAGAGTAGAACAGAATAGAGTAGAACAGAGTAGAATATAATATAATAGAGTAGAGTTGAATATAATAGAGCAGAATAGAGTAGAGTTGAATAGAATAGAGTAGTATAGAGTAGAATGGAATAGAGTTGAATAGAACAGAATAGAGAAGAGTAGAATACAATATAATAGAATATAGTAGAATACAATAGAGTAGAACACAGTAGAATAGATTAGAATACAATAGAGTAGAATGGAGTAGAATAGAGTAGAGTAGGTTTGAATAGAATAGAGTAGAATAGAATAGAGTAGAATTTAATTTAATAAAGTAGAATCGAGTAGAGTAGAATAGAGTTGAATAGAATAGAGTAGAATATAATAGAACAGAATAGGGTTGAATATAATAAAGTAGAATAGAACAGAATAGAGTAGAATATACACTACAGGTCAAACGTTTTAGAACACTTACTCATTCAAGGGTTTTTCTTTATTTTTTACTATTTTCTACATTGTAGAATAATAGTGAAGACATCAATATGGAATCATGTAGTAACCAAAAAAGTGTTAAACAAATCAAAACATATTTTATATTTGAGATTCTTCAAATAGCCACCCTTTGCCTTGATGACAGCTTTGCACACTCTTGGTATTCTCTCAACCAGCTTCACCTGGAATGCTTTTCCAACAGTCTTGAAGGAGTTCCCACATATGCTGAGCACTTGTTGTCTGCTTTTCCTTCACTCTGTGGTCCAACTCATCCCAATCCATCTCAATTGGGTTGAGGTCAGGGGATTGTGGAGGCCAGGTCATCTGATGCAGCACTCCATCACTCTCCTTCTTGGTAAAATAGCCCTTACACAGCCTGGAGGTGTGTTGGGTCATTGTCCTGTTGAAAAACAAATGATTGTCCCACTAAGCCCAAACCAGATGGGATGGCGTATCGCTGCAGAATGCTGTGGTAGCCATGCTGATTAAGTGTGCCTTGAATTCTAAATAAATCACAGACAGTGTCACCAGCAAAGCACCCCCACACCATAACACCTCCTCCTCCATGCTTTACGGTGGGAAATACAAATGCGGAGATCATCCGTTCACCCACACCGTGTCTCACAAAGACACGGCGGTTGGAACCAAAAATCACAAATTTGGACACACTGGTCTAATGTCCATTGCTCGTGTTTCTTGGCCCAAGCAAGTCTCTTCTTCTTATTGGTGTCCTTTAGTAGTGGTTTCTTTGCAGAAATTCGACCATGAAGGCCTGAGTCACACAGTCTCCTCTGAACAGTTGATGTTGAGATGTGTCTGTTACTTGAACTCTGTGAAGCATTTATATTGACTGACCTTCATGTCTTAAAGTAATGATGGACTGTCGTTTCTCTTTGCTTATTTGAGCTGTTTTTGCCATAATGTGGACTTGGTCTTTTACCAAATAGGGCTATCTTCTGTATACCCCCCCACCTTGTCACAACACAACTGATTGGCTCAAACGGATTAAGAAGGAAAGAAATTCCACAAATTAACTTTTAAGAAGGCACACCTGTTAATTGAAATGCATTCCAGGTGACTACCTCATGAAGCTGGTTGAGAGAATGCCAAGAGTGTGCAAAGCTGTCATCAAGGCAAAGGGTGGCTATTTGAAGAATCTCAAATATAAAATATATTTTGATTTGTTTAACACTTTTTTGGTTACTACATGATATGTGTTATTTCATAGTTTTGATGTCTTCACTATTATTGTACAATGTAGAAAATAGTAAAAATAAAGAAAAACCCTTGAATGAGTAGGTGTTCTAAAACTTTTGACCGGTAGTGTAGTAGAATATAGTAGAATAGAGTAGAATATAATAATAATAATAATATGCCATTAGATCCCGGGGATCGAAAATATAGTCGAATATAGTAGAATAGAATAGAGTAAAGTAGAATAGAATAGAGTAGAGTAGAATAGAGTGGAGTAGAATAGAGTGGAGTAGAATAGAGTAGAATATAATAAAGTAAAATAGAATAGAACATAATAGAGTAAAATAGAATAGAGTAGAGTAGAGTAGAGTCGAGTAGAATATAGTAGAATATAATAGAATAGAGTAGAATAGAACATAATAGGGTATAATAGAATAGAGTAGAATATAATACAGTAGAATACAGTAGAATAGAACAGAGTAGAATAGAGTAGAATAGAATAGAGTAGAAGATAACATAATAGAAGAGTACCTGTTCCTTGGTCTGAGCCTTCTGTACCACCTCTCTGCCCACCTTGATGCGGGGGGTGAGGACGGCACGGGTGAAGTCTGTCACGTTGATACCCTGCAGGTGGCATACTTTCTGAGCCGCTGGAGAGAGAGATAGAGAAGAGAGGGGGAGGAAGGGAGGATAGACAGAGAGAGGGGGAGGGAGAGAAGAGAAGAGAAGGAAGAGAAGAGAGAAGAGGAAGAGACGAGGGAGCGGAAGAGAAGAGAAGAGAAGGAGAAGAGAAGAGAAGAGGAAGAGAAGGCCAAAGCAGAAGAGAGAGAAGAGAAGAGGGGAAGAGAAGAGGGAAGACGAAGAGAGAGAAGGAAGAGAGAGAGAGAGAGAAAGATTTGTCGTACTGTATGTTACCTGTTCTTTAGTGGTATGTTACCTGTTGTCTTCTCACCTGTGTTAGTGGTATGTTACCTGTTGTCTTTCTCACCTGTGTTAGTGGTATGTTACCTGTTGTCTTCTCACCTGTGGTAGTGGTATGTTACTGTTGTCTTCTCATCTGTGTTAGTGGTATGTTACCTGTTGTCTTTCTCACCTGTGTTAGTGGTATGTTACCTGTTGTCTTTCTTACCTGTGTTAGTGGTATGTTACCTGTTGTCTTCTCACCTGTGTTAGTGGTATGTTACCTGTTTTCTTTCTCACCTGTGTTAGTGGTATGTTACCTGTTGTCTTTCTCACCTGTGTTAGTGGTATGTTACCTGTTGTATTCTCACCTGTGTTAGTGGTATGTTACCTGTTGTCTTTCTCACCTGTGTTAGTGGTATGTTACCTGTTGTCTTATCACCTGTGTTAGTGGTATGTTACCTGTTGTCTTTCTTACCTGTGTTAGTGGTATGTTACCTGTTGTCTTTCTCACCTGTGTTAGTGCTATTGATATGATGTTTTTATGGTATAGTGATGTCATGCCATAGTATTGTGAGGACAGTGAAAGAGTTAAGAGATGAGTGGTTTGGGGCCATGAAGTCTACATTCCATTATGTCAAGGTAGATTAGTGATGTTTAGGATAGCATGAGTGATGTTTAGGATAGTGACTTGGGGTAAAGAGTGATGAACATCAAAGGCAGGGAGTGCCCATGGAGACTTGCCAGATGTATGCCAGGAAGATGGTAATAAAGGCTATATAAGATAGAGTGTCTTCTTTGTTAAGTTAGTTCAACTGACGAAGGGCAAAGCCATGTCCGTTTGTTAGATGAACCCACGAGCTCGTGATTCAATAAATACTTGGTATGAAATCTCCACAGAATGTATAAGTATATCCTTGCATCCTTGATTCTTTGATACCTGAGAAACTCATCATAACAGCTATGTTAGCTGTTGTCTTTCTTACCTGTGTTAGTGGTATGTTACCTGTTGTCTTCTCACCTGTGTTAGTGGTATGTTACCTGTTGTCTTCTCACCTGTGTTAGTGGCATGTTACCTGTGGCTTTCTTACCTGTGTTAGTGGTATGTTACCTGTTGTCTTCTCACCTGTGTTAGTGGTATGTTACCTGTTGTCTTTCTTACCTGTGTTAGTGGTATGTTACCTGTTGTCTTCTCACCTGTGTTAGTGGTATGTTACCTGTTGTCTTCTCACCTGTGTTAGTGGCATGTTACCTGTGGCTTTCTTACCTGTGTTAGTGGTATGTTACCTGTTGTCTTCTCACCTGTGTTAGTGGTATGTTACCTGTTGTCTTTCTTACCTGTGTTAGTGCTATGTTACCTGTTGTCTTTCTTACCTGTGCTTTCCTATCTTTGTTATCTGTGCTAAATATAAACTGTATTTTCAAGCTTGTGTTACTGTGAACAAACTCTGTTGTTACCTGTGCTCCTACCTGTGTTATGTAATGTCTCACCTGTGTTGCTCCTACCTGTGTGATGTCATGTCTCACCTGTGTATCTCCTACCTTTGTGATGGCATGTCTCACCTGTGTTACTACCTGTGTGATGTTATGTCTCACCTGTGTTACTACCCGTGTGATGTCATGTCTCACCTGTGTTACTACCTGGGTGATGTCATGTCTCACCTGTGTTGTCGGGCATGGTGGCCTGCTCATTGTTCCTCTCCTTGTTGAAGGTAATGTTCCCCAGCTGGAGCACAGTAGAGACCACCTTCATCATGCCTAGAGAGAGGAGAGGAGCGAGGGATGAGAGGTGAGGAGAGTGGGAAGAGAGAGAAAGCAGAAAGAGAGACAGCCCTCCCCCTACCTATCCCCTCATCCTCCAGAGAGAGACAGAGAGAGAGAGAGAGAGAGAGAGAGAGAGAGAGACAGAAAGAGAGACAGAAAGAGAAAGACAGAGTGAGGTGGAGAAAGAGAATGATAGACAGCCCTCCCCCTCCCACCAGTACCTGTCCTCTCGTCCTCAGAGAAACCCATGATCTCCATGGCCTCCAGTGTTTCTATGAACATCTGATCATCTTCCTGACCAGGCACCTCCACATGACCTGCCACCAGGAACCGGTACGCCCCGAAACCCTCCAGTAACAGCTCCTCTATATAGGGACAGACAGGAGAGGAGGAGGTTTATGGTTTATACAGTAAATAATTAGGCAATAAGGCCTGTGGAGGTGTGGTATATGGCCAATATACCACGGCTAAGGGCTGTTCTTATGCACAACGCAATGCAGAGTGCCTGGATACAGCCCTTAGCCGTGGTATATTGGCCATATACCACAAACCCCCGAGGTGCCTTATTTCTATTATAAACTGGTTACCAACATAATCAGAACAGTAAACACTGTGGTATATTGTCTGATATACCATGGATTTCAGCCAATCAGCATCCAGGACACAAACTACCTGGTTTATAATAATATATTAAATATTATAAACTGGGTGGTTCGAGCCCTGGATGCTGATTGGCTAACAAAGACCTTATACCACGGGTATAACAAAACATTTATTTTTACTGCTCTAATTACGTTGGTAACCAGTTTATAATAGCAATAAGACACACTGAGTATACAAAACATTAAGGACACCTGCTCTTTCCATGACATAGACTGACCAGGTGAATCCAGGTGAAAGATATGATCCCTTATTGATATCACTTGTTCAATCCACTTCAATCAGTGTAGATGAAGGGGAGGAGACAGGTTCAAGAAGGATGTTTTAGCTTTGAGACAATGGAGACATGGATTGTGTATGTAAAAAAAAAAAAAAAAAAAATGTGTACTATTCAGAGGGTGAATGGGCAAGACAAAATATTTAAGTGCCTTTGAACGGGGTATGGTAGTAGGTGCCAGGCGCACCGGTTTGTGTCAAGAACTGCAACGCTGCTGGGTTTTTCACACTCAACAGTTTCCCGTGTGTATCAAGAATGGTCCACCACCCAAAGGACATCCAGCCACTTGACACAACTGTGGGAAGCATTGGAGTCAACATGGGCCAGCATCCATGTGAAGCGCTTTCAATACCTTGTAGAGTCCATGCCCCGACAAATTGAGGCTGTTCTGAGGCCAAAAGGGGGGGTGGGGTTCAACTCAATATTAGGAAGGTGTTCTTAATGTTTTGTACACTCAGTGTATACCGCTTTAAGGAAACAATATGCACTGAAACCCTTCAGCAACAGCTCCTATATAGGGACAGAAAGTAGTTTCAGACCTGTAGTTTAAATGAGCATACAGTGTAACTATCTAGGACATGGGTGGGCCCGCCGCAGAATTTTTAAATCCCGATGTGGCCCTCGAGACAAAATTATTGCCCACCCCTGATTTAGGAGAAACTACCAATCCTCGTCTGTCCATCCATCCTTCCATCTATCTATCACCTCACCCTTTAGCTGGTCCTTCGCTCCGGCCACCATGTAGTAAAAGATATGAAAGGCTCTCTCTATCTTGGCTTGGCGGATACAGCGAGACTTCTCTAGCAGGTCTGGTGGACAGGGGAGGGTTAAAGACAAACTCTGTGGCGAAGGAACAAGACACTGCATTTTACATTGGGCCAGATTCCCTGACACACATACAATATAAATAGAAATTCTTCATTGAACATGTTGTTTAGTCCAGGACTAGGCTAAATCTGTGTCTTTTGTATGTTTTAATATCTCTCTAATCTCTTAATCTGTGTCTGGGAAATCTCTAATCTCTAAAAGATTAATTTGATACACACTACAATACATCTCTATGAGGAGCCCAAAGTATGTATATTTATAGAATGATGTTTCATGAGGATACAGGTATCGATGTTGGCTCCAACGATGTATCCAGTCACGTCAAAGTTGAGCTTAATAAACTTCCCCTGTGAGGAGAGATACAGAGGATACTGTATATGTGAGCTCTTGATAGATGTCATGATATCACAGGAATAGCAGTCCGTACTCTAATAACAAGGAATAGCAGTCTGTACTCTAATAACAAGGAATAGCAGTCTGTACTCTAATAACAAGGAATAGCAGTCTGTACTCTAATAACAAGGAATAGCAGTCCGTACTCTAATAACAAGGAATAGCAGTCTGTACTCTAATAACAAGGAATAGCAGTCTGTACTCTAATAACAAGGAATAGCAGTATGTACTCTAATAACAAGGAATAGCAGTCTGTACTCTAATAACAAGGAATAGCAGTCTGTACTCTAATAACAAGGGACTGGTGCCAGGAGGTTTTCCTGACTATGTGATCAAACCAGGAAAGACTCTGGGCCCTAGTTATAGCCTTAATTAAGTTAGTAGTAATGTGGAGAGAGTGAATTAATGAATTACAGTTTTTCTCGATTGCTAAGACACATTTCTTGAAAGCTGCTCTCCCTTTCTCTTAACTGTGAACACAAAACCCAATTTTCAAGCTACATTCACAAAACCTCAGACTCTTCTTGCAAAACCAAACTTTCACCTCAAAACAGTTCAATCTGTGCTCAAAACTGAACTATGTTGTCAAATCGTGCCCCGAGTCAATCAAAATAAAAAACACTACTGAACAGTCACTAAACACTACGTAGAAAAATAGAAAACACAATGCTCAGGACATGAAGGTGGAGAAATAAATGTTTATTGTTCACTGTAGGCTAAATGCATGTTGCAAAACAAAAAAAAACTGTGCATTTAGCACTTGTACAAAAAGACAAAACAGAAATCTTGTGCATTTACATGTAGCACTTGTAAAAACAAACAGAAATCTTATGCGTTTGCCACTTGTGTACAGTAAGCCCATGTAAAAATAAAGTACAAAAATATACAAATAAGTGCATTACTCAGCCACAGCATCATGTCTCCGTACTGGGTCAGGCCACAGGACTTCATCCACATCACAGGCCACATTTTGTCTGGCCAGGCAACGGGGGGAAAAAAACCCTGGCATGCCGTATCCAGGCTTGGCATGCCTCCACACCTATGTCACCACAGGCAAGTCCCATGGCTTGCAGGAGATTCACCCTGGTGTAAGGTTGGTGTTCATATACCTTCCACCGCCATGAGGAGAAGAATTCCTCAATGGGGTTTAGGAAAGGGGAGTACGGTGGAAGGCAAAGATTGATAAAACCTTGGTTCATATTGTACCACTCTCTAACCTGGAGGGCTCTGTGAAAACTCACATTGTCCCAAACAACAACATAGATGGGATGCTCATCCTGCTGCCCTAACAAAGCATCTCGCATGTGATTGAGGAAAATGAGGAGCTGGTGAGTGTTGTAGGGCCCCAGGTTGGCATGATGGTGGACAACCCCATGATTGCTGATGGCAGCACATAATGTGACATTGCCACCACGCTGCCCAGGAACACCAACAATGGCCCGATGGCCAATCACATTACGGCCTCTCCTTCTCCTTTTGGTGAGATTAAACCCAGCTTCATCCATGTAGATGTATTGATGGGGTCTTTCCATTGCATCCAGTTGAAAAACCCTCTGTAGAAATAGATATCGTTTTGTAAGTGATACGGAAAAAGTGATTTAGGCCACTACAGTAAATCACTACTTAGAGTAATCAACATTGAATGTGTCTGGATATATGCCAACCTCTACATACTGGAATCTTTGCTCTTTGACTCTGTCTGAGTTGCGATCAAAGGGCACTCTGTATAGCTGTTTCATGCGCAGTCTGTTGCGCTTGAGGACACGATCAACAGTAGAGAGGCTGACACTGTTGATACCCTCAAAATTTAAATGGTCCTCAATGATCTTCTGCTGAATTTCGCTCAGTTTAATGGCATTGTTCTCACGGACCATATCAACAATTAGGGTCTCTTGGTGTGGGGAGAACATACCTGTCCTCCCACCCCCATATGGCAGTCTTTCAATTCTACAAAAAGAGAACATAGAGTTACAAAAAATATACATGGAATACTAGGCCTACAAACAGTTAGACCAACCCTCCATTACAATACTACAGTACATTGGTACAGTGATGTACTGAAACATATATTTACTTACAGTATACTGTGGTACAGTATATAGTATGTCATACAGTAATTGCTGTCAACATTTACATACTGTACTATAATATCTAAAAAAGGTAATTACCTGTTCTCTTCTCTAAATTTTCGGATCATGGTGGACACAGTGAATCTACTGATGTTTGGTTGTACCCTTTGTCCAGCCTCCCTCATGCTCATACCATGGACAAGAACATGGTCAATCACAGTAGCTCTGATTTCATCAGATATTACTGTTCTTTGTCTTCGCTGACCACCTCAACCACCTCGACCTCCTCTCACACGAACTCTTCCTCTCAGATTTCTATCCATTGTAGGGCCTCATAAACCAGTGCTCTCTGAACTGGCTTACTGTATATGTTCCCTCACACATTTTGAGTTGTTGTGTTCAAGTGGTGACACCTGTGCTCTAATTGTGTTTGACTTTTGTCACCTGTGCTCACCATTATGCAGCACGGGTGCATCACAATGAAAATGTGTTGGCAAGTTATGTCTAAACAGGTGAAAAGTGCTTATGGTTTTGCCAAAAGAGTGATTGATTCAATCAGTGGGTTCAGGCAACTGAGCATTTGGTTCAGACAATAGGGTTTAGTGTTTTAGCAATTGAGAAAAACTGTAATGAATTTAATTTGTGTAACAGTGTCTAAGTGTGTGTAAACTGTGAGTAATTACGAATCGTGAGGAGTTGTCGTTCTTGATGGTCTTGGCGTTCCCGAAGGCTTCCAGGATGGGGTTAGCCTGCAGCAGCTGCTTCTCTAGCTCCCCCTGTAGAGGAGAGGAGAGGAGAGGGAGAGGAGGGGGAGAGGAGAGTAGAGAGGAGAGGAGAGGTGAGGGAGAGGAGGAAAGGAGAGGGAGATGGAGAGGAGAGGGAGTGGGAGAGGAGAGGAGAGGAGAGGAGAGGAGAGGAGAGGAGAGGAGAGGAGGAGGAGAGGAGAGGAGAGGAGAGGAGAGGAGAGGAGAGGAGAGGAGAGGAGAGGAGAGGAGAGGAGAGGAGAGGAGAGGAGAGGAGAGGAGAGGAGAGGAGAGAGAAGAGGAGAGGAGGAGAGGAGAGGAGGAGAGGAGAGAGGAGAGGAAGAGAGAGAAGGAGGGAAAGGAGAGGATGGGGTTAGCCTGCAGAAGCTGCTTCTCTAGCGCCCCCTGTAGGGAAACCAGGAGAAAGTAGTAAAAATAATCAAATATATCCAACATATCTGTGACATCCAAATTTTTATATTACAAAATAATGATGTCACACAACAAAACAACAAAAGTTATTTTACACTGTACAACAAGAAATTGACAACTTAGACACACTTATTTTTTTAGCACACTACAAAGCAGTGCAACAGACACAGAGCAAAGCACAGTCAGTGAGACGTAGCATAGAAACAGCTCGGAGATATTAGTGAAAATATTATTATGGGGTGATTTTTGAATGTTTCACACACTATTTTAAACGTCATACAGGCCTATACTTTCTAACACACACAGAGATGTCATCAACAGTTAATAGTGTTCCCATGCTATAGGAGAGGAGAGAAGAGATTGAAAATATCATTTAATCTAATGTAGGTGTGACACGCTAGCTAGCATGCAGCTATGAACTCACTGTGGCTACGTCCCAAATGGCACCGTATTACATATGTAGTGCACTTATTTTACTAGACCTCTATAGGTGGTGGTCAAAAGTAGTGCACTAAATAGGGAATAGGGTGCTACTCTCATACTCACATAGGCCAGAGACCCAGGCTTCTCTGGCTTCTCCTACAGGGGAGGTAGAGGGATGGTGTGACCATTATAACCTATTATAATGTATTATGACCTGGCATAACGTATCATAACCTGGCATAACGTATTACATTTACATTTTAGCAGACGCTCTTATCCAGAGCGACTTACAGTTAGTGAATACATATTTTTTTATACTGGCCCCCCGTGGGAATCGAACCCACAACCCTGGCGTTGCAAACGCCATGCTCTATCAACTGAGCTACATCCCTGCCGGCCATTCCCTCTCCTACCCTGGACGACGCTGGGCCAATTGTGCGCCGCCCATGAGTCTCCCGGTCGCGGCCGGCTGCGACAGAGCCTGGATTCGAACCATAGACCACTGCCTTAGACCACTGCGCCACTCAGGAGACTACGTATCATAACCTGGCATAACCTGGCACAACATATTATAACCTGGCATAACGTATTATAACCTGGCATAACGTATCATAACCTGGCATAACCTGGCATAACGTATCATAACCTGGCATAACGTATTATAACCTGGCATAACGTATTATAACCTGGCATAACCTGGCATAACGTATTAAACCTGGCATAACCTGGCACAACATATTATAACCTGGCATAACGTATCATAACCTGGCATAACCTGGCATAACGTATCATAACCTGGCATATCCTGGCATAACGTATCATAACCTGGCATAACCTGGCACAACATATTATAACCTGGCATAACGTATTATAACCTGGCATAACGTATTAAACCTGGCATAACCTGGCACAACATTATAACCTGGCATAACCTGGCATAATGTATTATAACCTGGCATAACCTGTCATAACGTATCATAACCTGGCATAATGTATCATAACCTGGCATAACCTGGCATAACGTATTATAACCTGGCATAACGTATCATAACCTGGCATAACCTGGCATAACCTGGCATAATGTATCATAACCTGGCATACCTGGCATAATGTATCATCCCCAAAGCCAACACCTCCTTTGGCCACCATTCCTTCCAGTTCTCTGGTGCCAATGACTGGAACGAACTGCAAAAATCTCTGAAGCTGGAGACTCTTATCTCCCTCACTAACTTTAGGCGTCAGTTGTCAGAGCAGCTTACCGATCACTGCACCTGTACACAGCCCATCTGTAATAAGCCCATCCAACTACCTCATCCCCATATTGTTATTTATTTAGCTAATTTGCACCCCAGTATCTCTATTTGCACATCATCGTTTGCACATCTATCATTCCAGTGTTAATACGAAATTGTAACTATTTTGCACTATGGCCTATTTATTGCCTTACCTCCATAATTTACTACATTCGCACACACTGTATATATACTTTCTGTTGTATTTTCGACTTTATGTTTTGTTTACCCCATATGTAACTCTGTGTTGTTGTTTTTATCGCACTGCTTTGCTTTATCTTGGCCAGGTCGCAGTTGTAAATGAAACCTGGCATAACCTGGCATAATATATCATAACCTGGCATAATATATCATAACCTGGCATAATATATCATAACCTGGCATAACGTATTATTAATGATAAACAATAAAGTATTCTTCTATTCTTCTTTATTATCACTAGCTATTTTTTTATTACATTTTTATTGTTCTTGTTCTTGTTCTAATGTAATTGTATCCTTGGTGAATAGGTAGTGTCTGATATGTGAACCCTAAACTGTCTTTCTCCTTACTCTGTGATTGGGTAAGGGGAACATAGAATATATAGAACATGAATATAGAGGTGGTCTAATAGCAGGACTTAGAGTATGGATCATTGGCTATCAGTATTGATTCATATAAAACTACAGGGGGGAGGTGGTCTATCAGTATTGATTTTGAGAGCAGAAGACATAACGCCTAAACCACCAGCAGCACACCACAAACTGAAGAGAAACCAGCCCACCAACCAGACTAACAGCAGTTTCTACCACACAGTCAGTTAAGGTTAGAGTAGTCTGTATTGCCCTCATGACAGTAAGACTTTTCATACCTTGACTAGTGTTGGTGCATCCTGTCACACAAAAAATGTCACACAGAAATGTATTTAATTGTTTAAAAAAAAAAATGGTTATCACATTGATAAAAGTACAGTCACTCATGAGTACTCATCTCAATTTCATTTAAAACAAAAGGGTTACACAGTTTTGACATTTCCGTTCAATTTCCATCAACTCAATATCTGCTGCTATCCTCTGAGGGATTAAAGAAGTTCCATTGTATTGTTTTGAATGTGTTTAGGAGAGTACAGTAGAGGTAGGGTTGCAAAGATTCCAGTAACTTTCCCTAAATTCCCAGGTTTTCCAGAAATCACGGTTGGATGATTCCCAGATTTCCTGCTTATTCCATCCTGATTCCAAGAAACTTCCATCCAGGATTTCTGGGAAATGTAGGAAAGTTAACGGTATTTTGCAACCCTAGAGGTAACACTCACAGCTCCAGTGTATTGTAGTGTATCATATTGTATTGTACACTAGAGGTAACACAGCTCCAGTGTATTGTAGTGTATCATATTGTATTGTACACTAGAGGTAACACAGATCCAGTGTATTGTAGTGTATCATATTGTATTGTACACTAGAGGTAACACAGCTCCAGTGTATTGTAGTGTATCATATTGTATTGTACACTAGAGGTAACACTCACAGCTCCAGTGTATTGTAGTGTATCATATTGTATTGTACACTAGAGGTAACACAGATCCAGTGTATTGTAGTGTATCATATTGTATTGTACACTAGAGGTAACACTCACAGCTCCAGTGTATTGTAGTGTATCATATTGTATTGTACACTAGAGGTAACACAGCTCCAGTGTATTGTAGTGTATCATATTGTATTGTACACTAGAGGTAACACTCACAGCTCCAGTGTATTGTAGTGTATCATATTGTATTGTACACTAGAGGTAACACAGATCCAGTGTATTGTAGTGTATCATATTGTATTGTACACTAGAGGTAACACAGCTCCAGTGTATTGTAGTGTATCATATTGTATTGTACACTAGAGGTAACACAGCTCCAGTGTATTGTAGTGTATCATATTGTATTGTACACTAGAGGTAACACTCACAGCTCCAGTGTATTGTAGTGTATCATATTGTATTGTACACTAGAGGTAACACAGATCCAGTGTATTGTAGTGTATCATATTGTATTGTACACTAGAGGTAACACAGCTCCAGTGTATTGTAGTGTATCATATTGTATTGTACACTAGAGGTAACACAGCTCCAGTGTATTGTAGTGTATCATATTGTATTGTACACTAGAGGTAACACTCACAGCTCCAGGGTCCTTCTTGCTGCCTTTGTGAGAGGAAGCCACCACCGCTAGATACTGGATCACCTTCTTAGTGTTCTCTGTCTTGCCCGCTCCTGACTCACCTCTGGTTGGGTAGAGAGGAGAGGAGAGGGACAGTGGGTTAGAGAGGAGAGGGACAGGGGGTTAGAGAGGAGAGGGACAGGGGGTTAGAGAGGAGAGGGACAGGGGGTTAGAGAGGAGAGGGACAGGGGGTTAGAGAGGAGAGGGACAGGGACAGGGGGTTAGAGAGGAGAGGGACAGTGGGTTAGAGAGGAGAGGGACAGGGGGTTAGAGAGGAGAGGGACAGGGGGTTAGAGAGGGATAGGGGGTTAGAGAGGAGAGGAGAGGGACATGGGGTTAGAGAGGAGAGAGATGGGGGTTAGAGAGGAGAGGGACAGGGGGGGTTAGAGAGGAGAGGGACAGGGGGTTAGAGAGGAGAGGGACAGGGGGTTAGAGAGGAGAGGGACAGGGGGGTTAGAGAGGAGAGGGATAGGGGGGTTAGAGAGGAGAGGAGAGGGACATGGGGTTAGAGAGGAGAGAGATGGGGGTTAGAGAGGAGAGGGACAGGGGGGTTAGAGAGGAGAGGGACAGGGGGTTAGAGAGGAGAGGAGAGGGACAGGGGGTTAGAGAGGAGAGGAGAGGGACAGGGGGTTAGAGAGGAGAGGGACAGGTGGTTAGAGAGGAGAGGGACAGGGGGTTAGAGAGGAGAGGGATAGGGGGTTAGAGAGGAGAGGAGAGGGACATGGGGTTAGAGAGGAGAGGAGAGGGATAGGGGGTTAGAGAGGAGAGGAGAGGGATAGGGGGTTAGAGAGGAGAGGAGAGGTACAGGGGGTTAGAGAGGAGAGGGACAGGGGGTTAGAGAGGAGAGGGACAGGGGGTTAGAGAGGAGAGGAGAGGGACAGGGGGTTAGAGAGGAGAGGGACAGGGGGTTAGAGAGGAGAGGGACAGGTGGTTAGAGAGGAGAGGAGAGGGACAGGGGGTTTAAAGAGGAGAGGAGAAGGACAGGGGTCCAGACTCACCTCTGTCTAATTCATAAGTGTCAGATAGAACCTTATGGCTGAACCCAGATTGACATTTCAGAACCATAAGGTTCTATCTGCGATTGCACCCCGCTAAAAAAACTGATTTAGAAATGTCTCAAGATTTTGGTACTCTGCACTTTTAAGGTGAGGACCTTAATCAGTTATGAAAGAAGAATTCACTACACTCTTAGAAAAAAAGGTTATATCCAGAACCTAACAGGGTTCTTCAGCTGTCCCCAATAGGACAACCCTTTGAAGAACCCTTTTTGGTTCCAGGTAGAACCCTTTGGGTTCCATGTAAAACCCTTTCCACAGAGGGTTCTACATGGAATCCAAAAGGGTTCTACCTGGAAACAAACAGGGTTCTACCTGGAACCAAAAAGGGTTCTCATATGGGGACAGCCGAATAACCCTTTTGGAACCCTTCTTTCTAAGAGTGTACAAAACAGTTCTGAGATGTGAAAACGTTGATGCTTTGCGCAGATAGAACCTTATAGTCCCAAGGTCACGGGAATAAGGTGACATTTGGGACGCAGCCATGGTGCAAGGGGCAACAAGTTAATGTGTTGGAAAAGGTATGTCTGTGTTTGAGGTTTGGACTCACGTGCACAGAATGGACTGGTCCTCACGGTCTATGGAGAAAGACAGAGAGAAAGGGAGGGAGGGAGGGAGGGAGGGGGAGAGGGAGGGAGGGAGAGAGAGAGGAGGGGGGGGAGAGATAGGGAAGGAGGGAGATGGAGAGAGGGTGAGGGAGGGTGAGGAAGTGGGAGGGAGAGCGAGAGAGAGGGGGGAGAGGGAGAGAGAAAGAGATTGAAGGAGAGAAGGGAAACAGAGGGAGAGAGATGGGTTAAGGCAGGACAGTTGAAGCCAAGCTGAACACACCAAACATGAACTTTAGGGCGGTACTCTGCTCACTCACACATAGAGGAAAGACTAGCCAGAGGCTAGGAACAGCTTCCTAAATCTTCCTAAATCTATTTTTGCAAGAGATTAACTTCTCTGTCACTCATTATTGGCTAAAAATAGCAGGAGGATGGAGAGGGCTACTGGAGGAAGGTAACCTTGGTAACCTGCTCCATGTATGGGTATTTTGAAACACAAACACACACACCTTAACACACACACACACTCCATGTATGGGTATTTTGGAGATGACCCCCTTCTGATTGGTGGAAACTGGACAAGAAAGAATTGGATTGCGTCTGAAATGGCATCCTGTTCCCTATATAATGCACTACTTTAGGCACTGGGCATTATATAGAGAATACACTCTTAGAAAAAAGGGTTCCAAAAGGGTTCTTCGGCTGTCCCCATAGGAGAACCCTTTTTGGTTCCAGGTAGAACCCTTTTGGGTTCCATGTAGTACCCTCTGTGGAAAGGGTTCTATCTGGAACCAAAAGGGTTCTATCTGGAACCAAAAAGGGTTCTTTAAAGGGTTCTCTTATAGAGACAGCCGAAGAACCCTTTTAGGTTCTAAATAGCACCTTTTTTTCTAAGACTATAGTGCGTACGTCCCAGTACATCACTGGGGCAGAGCTCCCTGCCATCCAGGACCTCTATACCAGGCGGGTGTCAGAGGAAGGACCTACAAATTGTCAAAGACTCCAGCCACCCTAGTCATAGACTGTTCTCTCTGCTACCTCACGGCAAGCGGTACTGATGCACCAAGTAGGAACCAACAGGACCCTGAACAGCTTCTACCCCCAAGCCATTAGACTGCTAAATAGTTAGTTAAATAGTTAACCAAATAGCTACCCCGGACTATCTGCATTGACACTTTTTACACTAACTATTTTGACTCTATGCACACACACAGGACTCTACCCACACACTCACACATACTTACACTGACACTCCAACACAGACACACACACACACACACACACACATCCGCTGCTGTTACTATTTAATATATAGCCTGTTGCCTAGTCACTTTACCCCTACCTATATGTACATATCTACCTACATTACCTCGTACCCCTGCACATCGACTCAGTACTGGTACCCAGTGTATATAGCCAAGTTATCGTTACTCATTGTGTATGTATTCCTTGTGTTATTATTTTTATATTATTAATAATTATGTATTTTAATCTCATCTTCTCTCTGCACTGTTGGGGACGTTAGTAAGCATGTCACTGTTAGTCTACACCTGCTGTTCACGAAGCATGTGACAAATACAATTTGATTTGATTTGATGTGCCCTGGGGAAAAGTAGTGCACTATATAGGGAATAGCAGGCTACCATTTGGGACACAGCCTTGGTTTGAGGTTAAAGCCACTGCTAGACCAGACAGCCAGATATCTCCAGACATTCAATGCTGCATCGCCTGTCCTCAGTTAAACATACTGTATTGTCCTATTTCTATAACATTCATTAAATGATATGCCCCCCCCCCTCTCTCTCTCTCTCCCCTTTACCTTGCATCATGTTCCTGTAAGCGTTATCAGTGATGGAGTAGATATGAGGAGGAACCTCGTGACGTTTCTTCCCCTTATAAATCTCAATGATCTTCTCTGAGTAGATAGGAAGCATCTTATAGGGGTTCACCACCACACAGAACAGACCTGAATACGTCTGGAGAGGAGAGGATTGGAGGGGGAGGAGAGGAGAGGAGGGGGAGGAGAGGAGAGGAGGGGGAGGAGAGGAGAGGAGAGGAAAGGAGAGGAGGAGGAAGAGAGGAGGAGGAGGAGGAGGAGGAGAGGAGGAGAGGAGAGGAGAGGAAGAGGAGGAGAGGAGGGGGGAGGAGAGGAGGATGAAGAGGAAGAGGAAGAGGAGGAGGATTATAATTTTTGTTCCGTACACATGTTAAAAACTTCAGCACAAATTGCCCATTAACATCATTTGTGTGTGTGTGTGTGTGTGTGTCTGTGTGTGTATTATGTGTGCACGTGCGTGCATGTATGTACCTGTGTGTGTGTGTGTGTGTGTGTGCATGCCTGTGTATGTGTGTGTGTGTGTGTGTCTATACGGGTATTGTCTATACACTCGTATGCCTTTCCTGCAGTCAAATTACCAAATCACCCTCTAGTGGCCTCATGGGTGCAATGTTATTAATATTTTTTATATTTTCATAATTTTATAAACATTATTTATAAAAACCCGCTGAGAATTCTGTGTTTCTATGTCAAACGGTTTTGTTATATTTCAGTCTTCTGCGATGTATACAAAGTGTAATATTGGGATGCAAAATCCATTTCAACTCTGTATCTGACATGGTACAGGTGTCTTCTTTTTTTAAGGCCATAACCATGTGTGTGAGGTGTTTACTTTTGTTTCAAAGTAGATTTGTTGAAGACTACTAAGAAACACTCTGTGTGAGCCTGATTTAGCCCACTGCAGTAAAAGGTACAAAAAAAATGCTATCTAGAACCTAAAAGGGTTCTTTGGCTGTCCCCATAGGAGAACCCTTTTGGTTCCAGGGAGAACCCTTTTGGGTTCCATTTAGGACCCTTTCCACAGTGGATTCTACATGGAACACAAAAGGGTTCTACATGGAACCAAAAAGGCTTCTCCCTGAAACCAAAAAGGCTACTCCCTGAAACCAAAAAGGGTTATCCTATGGGGACCCTTTTGGAACCCTTTTTTCTAAGAGCGTACTCACGTAGATTAGGCTGGAGAAGTACCTCTCTCTGAGGTTGTGGAGGAGAGAGGCCTCGTTGAGACAGGTAAGAGCTGCCATGTCCTCCACCTTACTGAACTTAGGAGGGTTCATCTTTTGGATATCATCCTTGTTGACTGTCGCTTTCCTACCATTAGCCAACTCTACCAGCACCTGGAGAGGAGGAGAGAGGAGGAGGAGGAGGAAGAGGAGGATGAGGATGAGGAAGAGGAGGAAGAGGATGAGGAGGAGGAGGAAGAGGAGGAGGAGGAGAGAGGAGGAGGAGGAGGAGGAAGATGAGGAGGATGAGGAGGATGAGGAAGAGGAAGAGGAAGATGAGGAGGATGAAGAGGAAGAGGAAGAGGAGGAGGAGGAGGAGGAGGAAGATGAGGAAGATGAGGAAGAGGAGGAAGAGGAGGAAGAGGAGGAAGAGGAGAAGGATGAGGAAGATTTTCTATATAGTGCACTAGGGTCCTGGTGAAAAGTAGTGCACTATATAGGGAATAGGGTGCCATTTCAGATGCAACAGCCTTACATCGTCTCCCTTCTCTTCCTTAATGCTGGCGGCCTCAAACCCCTCCTTCTCTGACGGGATCCACACCATCTTCTTGGCCGACCAATCAGCCTGCCCCACACCACTGTTCCTGAAGTCATGGTCCTGCCGCAGGAACTTGCTGTCATCAGAAGCGGAGTCGGAAGCCATCTTGGGAAGGTCGTCGTCGGTGACAGGAAGGTCGTCTGTGATGGGAGGGTCGTTGATTGGAGGGTTGGTCTCAAAGCTGAGGGAGAGGGAGAGAAAGGGAGAGCTAAAGGGAGAGATTAAGAGAGGAGGAGAAGGAGCGATATAGGAAGAGGGGGAGAGACAACAACAACAACAACAACAACAACAATAACAACAATTCCAGTGATTAATAGAAATTCTACTTTAGACCTCAGAAACATTCTAACGGTCGGTCTGTCTGTCTGGCCATTCTGGCGGTCTGTCTGTCTGGCCATTCTGGCGCTCTGTCTGTCTGTCTGATTTTCCTGTCTGTCTGTCTGTCTGATCTTTCTGTCTGTCAGTCAGTCAGTCAGTCCGCCCGCCTGCCCGCTCGCCCGGATGCAGCCATAACCTAAGCGTTTTACAGCATCATCCACGTCCATGTCATCATTACTCACTGACTGCTCCTCTCCTCTCCCTGCTGCGGGTCACAGGACCCACAAGGCTTTGCAGCAGCCCTGCTCCGCCTGCCGATGACCATAACGCCATAGAATATGTAAAACAGCAGCAGGATAACTAGAGCTGTAAAACCTTGAAACAGCAGTTGATAAGCCATGCTGGGAGGATGATAATGAGGACGACCATGCCCACTGCCTCTGATGGCCCTGTCCAGAGAGATGCTAGGGGCCTGCCTCCCAAATGGCACCCTATTCCCTATATAGTGCACTACTTTTGACCAGGGCCCATAGGGCTCTGTAGGGAATAGGGTACCATTATGGGCACAGCAGGGGACTTAACCGCTTCTATTCCTTATAAGGGGACTGTGTGTCGGTCAGTCTCTCCTCTCCTGTGGCCAGCTCCAGCCGAGCGTTACCGTTGTTCACCAACATGGTGACCTGTCAGTCAGTCACTAGGTGCTTGGTCTCTGGTCACAGCAGTAACATTAGCTGATTAGGTTCTGGGTGCACGGCAAGGACATGTTACTAGGTGCTGTGGTGTATGGCGGCTGGGCCAGCGGGGATACCAGGGTTGGGGTAAATTTCATTTTCAATACAGGAGATGAATTGAAATTCACATTCAAGTTATTGAATAGTGCCATTTTATTTTGAATAGATGGAGTTGAAATGGGATTGATCCCAACTCTGGTGTCAAAGCACTTATTGCACAAGGTGAAATGCTATGAAATGAAATTGCAATTGAAAAGGTCTATCACCTAAAATAAACACCACATTATCCTGTACTAGCAAAGCCCCTGTCAAGAGGTCCAAACCTTTATGGCACAGTAGGTAGGTAGCTTCATGTGCTTATTGCCTGTTCAAATGCAGCTCCAGCCATCCCCTTATACCAATACATCTCTAAAATACAAACTTAGCATGACAGCCAGGTGAAATCGGTCCTAAATGTAACCTTCGTCACAGATGTAAAAATCAAAACGTCATCTAAATAGCAACAACAACAACCTATCTGAAATTCCAATAAAGTGCACATTGTTCATTCAAACATTGCGAAGCAACACATGTAGTACCTAAACAAGTGTAGCCGCCTAAAACGTTGTAGCATATTTACTTTTCCAACTCTCGAACAGAACTGACAATAGATTGAGGAGGAGAGAGGTATTTATATTGTTAAAACAACGCTATCCGGCATGCGATAACAGACATCTCTATCTGCACCTGTCTATACAGAACGGAAGGCTATTACTGGTAGTCTGTTCGCACAAGACCACATTTATTTAAAAGGAAGCAGACTCAATACTCACTTTAGTATTTCTCCCGGGATGTAGCCTATCCTAAAAAGTTGTCTCGGTATACGTTACTCCACGAGATAGCGGGACGGGACAGGTGAACGGTTTAGGTTTGAACTATCCTTCCACCGGATGAAACATTTTAGCCAGGTATTTAAACCTGCCCGCGCGGCCAGTGGGAGGGTCCTCCTCGTCTCCAGGGTGACCAAAATTTGACAGCAGCCAACGCTTGGAGTTTGTTTGTGCTATCATTCCACTCCTTGGCATGACAAGGAGTGTCATGAATGCACAAAACAGACTGGTACCCAGGCTAGCTAGGATGCTCGGCCTTCCACAGATGGTGACATAGGTCTAATCAATACTACTGCCAGAGCACTTCTTTGGAATGAATGAAATAAACTTGTATGTCTTTTATGGAATAGCATATCATGATTACAACAAATGAAAAATGTAAAGGGCTATTAACCTTTTACCCAAATACCACAATCTGAGAGGTGAATGTTTACAATATAGCTTAAGGATATGTTTCTTGGGCTAATCTAATGTTTGTGTTTATCTGTAGCCTAAATATTGTGCTCTCTCTCTCTCTCTCTCTCTCTCTCTCTCTGTCTCTCTGTCTCTCTGTCTCTCTCTCTCTCTCTCTCTCTCTCTCTCTCTCTCTCTCTCTCTCTCTCTCAATTCAATTTCAATTCAATTTAAGGGCTTTATTGGCATGGGAAACGTGTGTTAACATTGCCAAAGCAAGTGAAGTAGATAGTAAACAAAAGTGAAATAAACAATAAATATTAACAGTAAACATTACACTCAGAAGTTTAAAAAGAATAAAGACATTTCAAATGTCATATTATGTATATATACAGTGTTGTAACAATGTGCAAATAGTTAAAGTACAAATGGGAAAATAAATAAACATAAATATGGGTTGTATTTACAATGGTGTTTGTTCTTCACTGGTTGCCCTTTTCTTGTGGCAACAGGTCACAAATCTTGCAGCTGTGATGGCACACTGTGGTTTTTCACCCAGTAGATAAGGGAGTTTATCAAAATTGGGTTTGTTTTCGAATTCTTTGTGGATCGCTGTAATCTGAGGGAAATATGTGTCTCTAATATGGTCATACATTTGGCAGGAGGTTAGGAAGTGCAGCTCAGTTTCCACCTCATTTTGTGGGCAGTGTGCACATAGCCTGTCTTCTCTTGAGATCCAGGTCTGCCTACGGCGGCCTTTCTCAATAGCAAGGCTATGCTCACTGAGTCTGTACATAGTCAAAGCTTTCTTTAAGTTTGGGTCAGTCACAGTGGTCAGGTATTCTGCCACTGTGTACTCTCTGTTTAGGGCCAAATAGCATTCAAGTTTGCTCTGTTTTTTTGTTTGTTCTTTCCAATGTGTCAAGTAATTCTCTTTTTGTTTTCTCATGATTTGGTTGGGTCTAATTGTGTTGTTGTTGTTGTTGTTGTCCTGGGGCTGTGTGGGGTCTGTTTGTGTTTGTGAACAGAGCCCCAGGACAAGCTTACTTAGGGGACTCTTCTCCAAGTTCATCTCTCTGTAGGTGATGGCTTTGTTATGGAAGGTTTGGGAATCGCTTCCTTTTAAGTGGTTATAGAATTTAACGTCTCTTTTCTGGATTTTGATAATTAGCGGGTATTGGCCTAATTCTGCTCTGCATGCATTATTTGGTGTTTTACGTTGTACACGGAGGATGTTTTTGCAGAATTCTGCATGCAGAGTCTCAATTTGGTGTTTGTCCCATTTTGTGAATTCTTGGTTGGTGAGCGGACCCCAGACCTCAGAACCATAAAGGGCAATGGGTTCTATAACTGATTCAAGTATTTTTAGCCAGATCCTAATTGGTATGTCAACTTTTATGTTCCTTTTGATGGCATAGAAGGCCCTTCTTGCCTTGTCTCTCAGATCGTTCACAGCTTTGTGGAAGTTACCTGTGGCGCTGATGTTTAGGCCGAGGTATGTATAGTTTTTTGTGTGCTCTAGGGCAACGGTGTCTAGATGGAATTTGTATTTGTGGTCCTGGCAACTGGACCTTTTTTGGAACACCATTATTTTTGTCTTACTGAGATTTACTGTCAGGGCCCAGGTCTGACAGAATCTGTGCAGAAGATCTAGGTGCTGCTGTAGGCCCTCCTTGGTTGGTGACAGAAGCACCAGATCATCAGCAAACAGAAGACATTTGACTTCAGATTCTAGTAGGGTGAGGCCGGGTGCTGCAGACTGTTCTAGTGCCCTCGCCAATTCGTTGATATATATGTTGAAGAGGGTGGGGCTTAAACTGCATCCCTGTCTCACCCCACGGCCCTGTGGAAAGAAATGTGTGTGTTTTTTGCCAATTTTAACCGCACACTTGTTGTTTGTGTACATGGATTTTATAATGTCGTATGTTTTTCCCCCAACCCCACTTTCCATCAATTTGTATAGCAGACCCTCATGCCAAATTGAGTCAAAAGCTTTTTTGAAATCAACAAAGCATGAGAAGACTTTGCCTTTGTTTTGGTTTGTTTGTTTGTCAATTAGGGTGTGCAGGGTGAATACGTGGTCTGTCGTACGGTAATTTGGTAAAAAGCCAATTTGACATTTGCTCAGTACATTGTTTTCACTGAGGAAATGAACTAGCCTGCTGTTAATGATAATGCAGAGGATTTTCCCAAGGTTGCTGTTGACGCATATCCCACGGTAGTTATTGGGGTCAAATTTGTCTCCACTTTTGTGGATTGGGGTGATCAGTCCTTGGTTCCAAATATTGGGGAAGATGCCAGAGCTAAGGATGATGTTAAAGAGTTTAAGTATAGCTAATTGAAATTTGTGGTCTGTATATTTTATCATTTCATTGAGGATACCATCAACACCACAGGACTTTTTGGGTTGGAGGGTTTGTATTTTGTCCTGTAGTTCATTCAATGTAATTGGAGAATCTAGTGGGTTCTGGTAGTCTTTAATAGTTGATTCTAAGATTTGCATTTGATCATGTATATTTTTTTGCTGTTTGTTCTCTGTTATAGGGCCAAAAAGATTGGAGAAGTGGTTTACCCATACATCTCCGTTTTGGATAGATAGCTCTTCGTGTTGTTGTTGTTTGTTTAGTGTTTTCCAATTTTCCCAGAAGTGGTTAGAGTCTATGGATTCTTCAATTACATTGAGCTGATTTCTGACATGCTGTTCCTTCTTTTTCCGTAGTGTATTTCTGTATTGTTTTAGTGATTCACCATAGTGAAGGCGTAGGCTCAGGTTTTCTGGGTCTCTATGTTTTTGGTTGGATAGGTTTCTCAATTTCTTTCTTAAGTTTTTGCATTCTTCATCAAACCATTTATCACTGTTATTACTTTTCTTTGGTTTTCTGTTAGAGATTCTTAGATTTGATAGGGAAGCTGAGAGGTCAAATATACTGTTTAGGTTTTCTACTGCCAAGTTTACACCTTCACTATTACAGTGGAACGTTTTGTCCAGGAAGTTGTCTAGAATGGATTGAATTTGTTGTTTCCTAATTGTTTTTTTGTAGATTTCAACACTACTTTCCTTCCATCTATAGCATTTCTTAATATTATTCAGTTCCTTTGGCTTTGATGCCTCATGATTGAGTATTGCTCTGTTCAAGTAGACTGTGATTTTGCTGTGGTCTGATAGGGATGTCAGTGGGCTGACTGTGAACGCTCTGAGAGACTCTGGGTTGAGGTCAGTGATAAAGTAGTCTACAGTACTACTGCCAAGAGATGAGCTATAGGTGTACCTACCATAGGAGTCCCCTCGAAGCCTACCATTGACTATGTACATACCCAGTGTGCGACAGAGCTGCAGGAGTCGTGACCCGTTTTTGTTGGTTATGTTGTCGTA